TCCTGGGCAGGAACAGAGACTAGAAATAGGAAGAACCAAGTCTATTCTCTCTCAACACCTGGAAAACTAGAAGACAAGAAAGTTTCAGATCTCCTGGTAGGAGCTCAGGCTGGTTTCTGTAAGAAAGGACCTGGGATGGGACTGGAGGAAGGGCATCTGGCCAAAGAAAGCCACAGGGAGAGGCGAGATGGAGGAAACTGGGATGCAGTGTGGCTAGTGGATGCTTGAGTTATCTGCAAAAGGCCCTGGATTCCATTCCAGCACCTCATAACCCGAGTGTGGTTCGATGCCTTTCCTCCCAATAGGTGGGAGATGGAGACAAAAGATCAGAAGTTCAATGTCATCTTGGCTTCATAGTTGGTTTGAGGCCAGCCTGGGCTCATTGAGACTTTTTCTCAGAGAAAAAGTGTTGGAGAAGGAAGGGTCAGAGCAGGCCATGTATAGTAGGAAAAGAAGAGGCAGGAGAGAAGGGTGGAGAGGTTGGGAGGTGAAGAGAAAAGGGCAAGAGATGTGGAAGATCTGGAACAAAGGATTCTGGGACAGCGGGGCTCACTGACCATTGAGAAAGACAGAGAGAAGAAAGGGAAGGATGGGAGAACTGTTGAATCCAGGCATATGTTCAAGGCTGAGAGGAAACAGAGACAGAGAGAGGGCAGCCCAGGAAATGGAAGGAGAGAGGGAGGAAGACTGAGGTCTAAAGTGGGTGTTGTTCTGGGAAGGAGACTCCTGAGACCCTCTCCACTCCTTGTCACTGAGAATCTGGTGCCTGAGGATCCTGAGGTCATAGAGGACAAGAAGAGAGCAGACAGGATGAGTCAGTGGTTAGTGAAGACCCCGGGGTGTGGTTCTCCCATTTTTTTTTTTTATGATATTTGAAGTGGCTGGAGAGATGGCTCAGTGGTTAAGAGCGCTGGCTGCTCTTGCAGAGGACCCGGATGGCGCTCACCTGGCTGGGGTTTCGGCTTTAGTCCTCTGTCCTGTGGGGAAGAAACAGTGTCAGTGTGACATCAGTAATGACCCTCCACCATCCCTCTCAGCTGTCCTCTGTGTTCAGACCACCTTCAGAGGACAGGGGAGCAGAGAACCTGCCCCAGGCAGTCAGAGAGGAGCCTGAGCTCCCTCTGCTGGGCTGTGTCCTACACAGCAACCTCCCCAGATCTCTGCTAGGTCCATATCCACCCCTGTCTCCTCTGCTTCCTTCACCAACCTTGAAGTTCCCTCACTCCACACCTGCCTCATCTACTCTGCATTCACCAGCCTTCCTTTTTGTGCCCATAGAGACCGCCTCTTTTTCTGGATTATATTTCACTCTATTGGTCTTTTTGTCTTGGTCTATACTATGCTGTTTTCATGACCATAGGTTTTTTTTTTTTGCCACTTATTGATTATATGGTAGTTGGTGTGGCACAGTTTGTATGGAGGTCAGAGGGCAACTTGCGGCCATCAGTTACCTCCACCTTGTGGCTCCCAGGCTTGGACACTGACACCTTTTACCCTCTGAGGGCTACTGTGTTCTTTAGAAAAATCTATTATTCATTTATTTATTTAGCTATTGTAGGTTTTAAAACAAATTGTTTTGTTTTTATAATTTTAAGTTTATGTGCACATGAGAGTAGGTGCCTGTAGAATTCAGGAGAGGGCTTCAGGCAGGCCTGTAGCCAGAGTTACAGGAGGTTTTAAACTGCCTGATGTGGATGCTGGAGCAGAACTCAGGTTCTCTGCCAGAGCAGCAAGTGTTCTAACTCCTGACCCATCTCTCTGTGTTTCCTCTTCTGATTTATAAGCACACCTTTCTTTGTTGTTCTTTGTTTTCTTGGACAGCTCTGTTAGATCCATACAGGCACTTCAACTGTAACCCAAATCAGCGGGTCAGCCCACCCCTGTGCAGGTTTGAGTTAAAAATCTTCACCACAGGCTCACCTATTCGAAATCTTGTTCATATTATGGAGGTTATGGACTGTTTAGGAGGTACAGCCTTCAGGAAGAGGTGTGTGTCACGTGGGTTGCATTTTGACAACTTATTGCCCCGCCTCACTTCCAGCTTTCTCCCTGGTTCTCTGCATGTGTTGAAGGTGTGACTTCTCAGTGTCCTGCTTCAGCTGCCCCACCACTATTAACCTTCCTTCTGGACCACAAGTCAAATCCAATTCTTCCTTCCTCAAGTTACTTTTGATTATGATGTTTTATCACCACAGTGGAAAAGTAACCGCCATTACACACTCTCAAACAGACTTC